CTGCAGCAGCCGCTGCAGCAGCAGCAGCTCACCTTGGCCCACTGCTGCACAAGCCCCGTGTCTCCGCCGAAGCGCTTCAGTTGCTGCTGCTGCTGCTGCTGCTGTCGAGTAAGGAATTCTGCTGCCCACGCAGAGGGCCCATGCTGCGGTTGCTGCTGCTGCTGCTGCTGTTGCTGCTGCTGCTGCTGCCTTGCTGCAGGGTGCATAAAGGGCTCTCTGAAGTGAGAAGAGCGCAGCAGCTCTGCTTCTGCTGCTGCTTCTGCTGCTGCTTCTGCTGCTGCTGCTGCTGCTGCAGTGCTGCCAGACAAAAGTCCCTCGACGCCCCCTGGAAGCAGCAGGAGATTCGAAAGCGCTAAACCCTAAGCCCTAAACCCCAAACCCTAAACCCTCGCCCGGAGTTCCGGGCCTCAAAACCCTAAACCCTAAACCCTAAACCCTCGCTTACGAGCCTCAGGAGCAATTCTTGCTGCTGCTTTTTCTGCTGCTGCTGCGTCAGCTGGGGGTATAAACACATCTTCTGCTGCTTCAGCAGCAGCAGCAGAGGCCCCTAGGGGCCCCTTTTGCTGCTGAGGGGCCCCCACGGGGGCCCCCCTGAGGGACCCCAGGGGGGCCCCCAGCTGGTCCCCCAGGGGCCCCTGGAGGCCACTTAAATCGTACCCCTCTGTCAGCTGCGGAGCAGTCGCAAACCCTAAACCCTAAACCCTAAACCCTAAACCCTAAACCCTAAACCCTAACGCGCCCAAAGCGACGAATGACCTTGCCCTGAAACTTGACCAGTCTCCACCTCGGCCGCGCAAACCCCTAGACGCAAACCCTAAACCCCAAACTCTAAACCCCAAACCCTAAACCCTAAACCCTAAACCCTAAACCCTACCTGCTGAGTCCTAAGGGGGTCTTGTGTCACGGAACTCAAGAAAGAAGTCAGAGGGTTTGAAGAGGTCCCAGAAATGGAGGGCCCCGAGGGGGGGGCCCCACAGCCCTGCGGCTGCGGCTGCGAGAGCAGCGCCCGAAAGGCCATCCCAAACCCTAAACCCTAAACCCTAAACCCTGGGGCGTGGCCCTGGGTTCCCAGGCCCACGCCCTGGGCTGCCAGCCCCGGCAGAAGCTGCTGCTGCGGGGCCCCACAGACAGCCAGGGGGCCCACA